GTCTCACCCTGTCGCCCAAGCTGGACCAGGCTGGAGTGCAGTGGCATGATCTTGGCTTACTGCAACCTCCACCATGTGGGTCCAAATGATTCTCTTGTCTCCGTCTCCAGAGCAGCCAGGATTACAGGCATAAGCCACCACTCCTGGCTAATTTTTTGTGTTTTAGTAGAGACGGGGTTTTACCGTGTTGCCTTGTCTAATCTCAAACTCCTGAGCTCAGGCATGAGCCACCATGCCCAGCCTAACACTTTTAAATGCTCAGACTGTTTTCTAGATTACTGTGAACCATGTTAATCATATTGACATCATTTATTTGCTTCACACTTTTTTCTTCTTCATAAAGAGAAGGTAAACCTCAGCTTAGCATCTTTTGATTTATTGCAAATTTTAAATCAGCCACAGGTATGTTAATGAAACTTTAACATATTGCCTTAGTTAAATGCTAACCAGATGAAAGACAAATACATATGCCAGATATATTACATATGTAGTCTTTATTATGCTTTTAGTTTGAGCTTAGAAAGAGATTCTGTGTGTTTTGAAGACTTTAACAATAGTAGAGGTCAGGTGCGGTGGCTCAGGCCTGTGAGCACTATGGTATTCTGCGAGACTGAGGTGGGAGGATCACTGGAGCCCAGGTGTTCCAAGAACAGTCCTGGTAACAACTCTACCAGAAAAAAAAAAACCCTTGGCTGGGCATAGTAGTGCACTCCTGCAGTGCTAGCTACTCAGGAGGCTGAGGTGGGAGGACCACTTGAACCCAGGAGTTAGAGGTTACAGTGAGTTATGATCATGCCACTACACTCTCCAGCATGGGTGACAGAATGAGATTCTGTCTCAAAAGGGGGGAAAAAAAAGAAAAGAAAAAACAGAGTCTAGAAAATTTAAAAGCAATAATAATTACCTGAATTTACCATAGATAGCATGGATTTAGGAAGTAAAATTCAAAATCTTATATAGATATTTAAACCTGGTCTCAGTCTCAACCAGGAGTACTTAGCAACCCCAGTGGTTACCCAAGATAATAAAAAGACAAGGGAACAAATGCCAAGAGTTATTGTTAAAATGGTTGTCCGGTAGGGAGTAGTGATCAGGGTGAATTGGAAGTTGATATGACAATGAAGTTAATGAATGAACTGACAAGGAAATAAACAATTGAGAGAGTTATATTAACAGAGCTTTGAGATGTTGGAGAGGTGAAGTAGTTTTGAATGACTGGATCTTAGGGATTGCCTTAGTAGTGGATGAAAGTTGAGATTTTCAATATCCAAGTTCGTTAAATCAGAATTATGATATGGGGGAGGAAGACAGAGCAAGATGGCCAAATAGAAGCTTTCAGCAATTGTCACCCCAACAGGAACATCAAATTGAAAAACTGTCCACACAAAAAAGCACCCCCACAAGAATAAAAAATCAGGGGAGCGATCATAGTACCTAATTTTAACATATTAACGAAAGAGGCACTGAAGAGGTTAGGAAACACAGTCTTGTATCACCTACACCACCTCTCCCCCATTGTCCCCTCTAGCTGCCACATGGTGCAGAAAGAGAATCTCTGCTTTGGGGAGGGGGAGGAGAGCACAGTGATTGTGGTACTTTACATTTGAACATGGTGCTGCCCTATCACATCAGAAAGTAACATGGGGCGGAGCTCAGCTGATGCCCACAGAGGGAACATTTGGACAGCTCTAGCCAGAAGTTAATCTTCCATCCCAGCAGTTGGTAACTAAGTTCCAGCAAGCCCTGCCACCATGGGCTAAAGTACTCAGGGGTCCTAAATAAATGATAAAGAAGTCAATTTAACAAGAGAATCTAAAATTTTTAAACATGTCTATCCAACACTGGAGCATCCAGATATATAAAGCAAATATTACTAGAGCTAAAGAGAGAGGGAGACCCCAATACAATAATAACTGGAGACTTGAAGACCCCTCTTTCAGCATTGGACAGATCACCCAGACAGAAAAATGAACAAAGAAACAGACAGTCTGCAATATAGACCAAATGGACCTAATAGATATTTATGGAACATTGCATGCAGTGACTGCAGAAGACACATTCTTCTCGGCACATGGATCATTGTCAAGGATAGACCATATGTTAAGTCACAAAACAAGTCTTAAAATATTCAAAAAAATGGCCGGGCACAGGGTCTCACGCCTGTAATCCCAGCACTTTGGGAGGCAGAGGCAGATAGATCATGAGATCAGGAGTTTGGGACCAGCCTGACTAACATGGTGAAACCTCATCTCTACTAAAAATACAAAAATTAGCTGGGCATGGTGGCACACGCCTGTAATCCCAGCTACTCAGGAGGCTGAGGCAGGAGAATTGCCTGAACCTGGGAGGTGGAGGTTGCAGTGAGTCAAGATCGTGCCACTGCACTCCAGCCTGGGCAACAGAGTGAGACTTTGTCTCAAAAAAAAAAAAAAAAATTGAAACCATATCGGATATTTTCACTGATCACAATGGAATAAAACTAGAAACTTAATAGCAAGACACATGAAAATTAAACAGTGTGCTCCTGAGTGAGTGGGTCAATAAAGAAATTAAGAAGGAAATTTAACAGTTTCTTGAAAGAAATGAAAATGTACATAAAACCTACCAAAATATATGGGATACAGCAAAATCTATACTAATAGGAATGTTTATAGCAATAAGTGCCTACATCAAAAAAGTAGGAAAACTTCAAATAAACAACCTCTACTGATGGATCTTAAAAAGCTAGAAAAGCAAGAGCAAACCAAATCCGAAGTCAATAGAATAATGATGATCAGAATAGAAATAAATGAAATTGATACAAAAAGATCAGTGAAAAGTTTTTTTTTTAAGAAATAAATAAAATCAAGAAACTCTTAGCCCAAGATAAAAAGGGAGATGTTACAACTAATACCACAGAAATTCAAAGGATTGTTAGAGGCTACTATGAGCAACTACATGTCAATAAATCAAAAAAGCTAGAAGCGATAAGAAGCTTTACGGCAGTCTAGACATTATCCAGCTTCCTGGGCTTTTTTTCACTTTGTGTTGAAGGACACACTTTGGATGACATATCATTCATCCTCAGGAGAGTGTTTAGTTTAGTATTTACCATCCTTAGGAACTTGGTTGGAGGAAAAAGAATACTTGAAGTGTTATTTCTGCTGGAGTGTTTGACCATAGTATACTCCAAGCTTGTGCTATGATCTTCCCTGCTATTTAGTATATAACACTATTTTCTCAGACCTCAATGTAGCATTTTTCATTTCCCTCCTATATCACCACGTCCACATTAAATCTCAGCTTCTGAAAAACAGAGGTGAGTTGCTATATATGTCTTAAGCTCCCTTTAGCCACTGCCTTCAACTCCTTAGTCTCTTTGCCTTCTTTTTCCTCTCATTTTTGGCTGAAATACTACAACTGATTTTCATAGAACCAAAGGTTTATATGAAATAATATATCATTAACTGGCAGTTATAAAGACTTTTCATATTTAACATGTAAAGTATTTTAAGGATTCAGGCTCTGGATTATTTAATTTTGTATTTTGTTTCTGTTTCATGTGCAATTTGGTATTTTCATTCTGTTTGGTGCCTTAGTTGAAGAATCAGAACATGAAAACCTCGAATCACATTTATTTGGCTCTTTCAGTTTCAATGGAGAAAAAATGGAAAATATCTGCTAAAATTACATTGTATATTTTCGAATGCAATCTAATTTTACCTGCAATTCATTTTTCAGATTTTATTTTAAGGGTGTATATGTGTGTGGAGAGGCCAAGTAAGGCTTATACCATATCCATTCTAAAAGCTTCATAACTTTTCTTAGCATATGAGTTATTAATGCTTCCCCTAAAAGATAAATTTTCCCAGAACCCTTCCTTTTTCTGTAGTTCACATTCTCTGACATAATGGCTGTATCTGCACTGTTTTTCCTTCCTCACCTACCAATAGGCTTAAGTAGGAGGCAGCTATCATCATTCATTGATATTATTGAGTGTAATGTAGTATGAAATGTTTGAGATTATCTCCATGTGACTGTCCCTATTCTATGATGTAAATGAAAGATTGATAAATTGTCAGAATTATGCAATTGACAATTCTGTGTTTGAGAAGGCTGAAGTCACAGCTTGCAGATGCTTTCAGTGCAGTATAGGTTGGTGGACCTCACTGCCCCCATTTTCTGCACTGTATATAGGTTCTAAAAGAGATTCTTAACCACTTGCTACTTATCATGCAGATTTGCTTATCAAAAATGTATACCATTTCTTTGAGAAAGTGTGTATAACTGCTTTGCAGCTAGTTATCCTTAGGTTTATTAAATTCCATATTAACCAGCTATTAGACATTTAAAAATATATACATAGAATTTTTTATATTAGTTAACTTTTTGTAAACTCTAATTCCAGTAAATTAAATAATATTTAGAACCTTTAAATATTTTGACCTGTATTACATCTCTAATTTCATTAATGTTTTTGTCAACAGACTTGTGCTGTCTGCTCTTAATTAACTCGTAAATATCTTCTATCAACCATCTTTTTAAAAATCATTTTGGATTAAAGATGACTTCATATTTGTTGAGTCATTAATAAAAATAAACTTTTATGAAGAGCAAGCCTCTGAGAAGAAAACATTTGATATGCTGGAATGTCCCTGTATTGCCTGCTTTAGCATGTGTGTTGGCAGGGTGTAGATATACACACCCCCACAACGATCCTCCTCCCACCCTATGTAAATGTACTCACTGTACAGCATTGTAAAGGATTTCATTATGCGATTTTGTTTTCAGAATTATCTTTCACTCTTTTCTGAGTATGATAATAGTGGCTGTATCTATGATGAATTTTAGTAGTTGTAGATGACACTGTACTTTCCTTAGTCCAAACCTGTGTTTCAAGCTCTGAAAAACAGAGAAAAGTGGTGTAAGTGGTTTTTAAATTCCTAACTTGGAAATATTTTGTTATCATCAGATTTCATATTCTTTAAATTGTACATAATGAGTGTGTTCTCCCTTTTTAGGTGCGCTTTGTAAAGAATATAACTTCCTGGAAAGAGATGAAACCAGGATTTTATCATGGACACGTTTCTTACTTGGATTTTACAAAGTAAGTTACACTAAAATAACACACTAAAGAATGCTTTGTACTTTAGTAACCTAAAAAAGAATAAATTCATTAAATTGTTACGATTTCCTAATAAAGAAATGTACTGACTTGCCTTTGCCAGTTTTAGTTATTTAAATATACCTTCTTAGTGTTTTACTGCCCTCTAGTGTTCATAAATTGGCAGTTCTCATTAATTATATATTAGGTTTTCCTCTTTAAAGTTATTTATTATTATTGTATGTATGTGTCCAACCAGAATGACAGTATTTAAGGAGAGCTCAAGTTTTAGCCTAGAGTCCAGATTATGGCTTACCACATCATTGACTGAGAAAGCAAAAAAGCTCTCACTAAGTTATTGGTGCTCCATTGTGTCTGCTTCTCAGCCAAGACATAATGAAATGTACGCTTCCCTTGGCTACCTTATTTTAGCTTTAAAATTATGATGTATTACAAGACTTAGAAAAAAACTAATGATTGTCTTTTAGTTGAATTTGCCTGTTATTAGAGATAAGTCTCACCCCATATTCTTGGGGAAAAGAGAGATACTTCTATCATCATTCATTCTCTCTCACACAGACACAGACACACATACACAGACACACACACACACACAGACTCTCTCTTTCTCTCTCTCTCTCTCTCTCTCTCTCTCTCTCTCTCTCTCTCTCTCTCTCTCTCTCTCTCTCTGTCTCTCCTGGACTCAGGTCTTCCCGCCTCATTCTCCCAAAGTGCTGAGATTATAGGCATGAGCCACTGTGCTCGGCCTCTGTCATATTAACAGTTCTCCCAAGAAAGGTTCGGAAAACTATACACCTACTCACAAGCACTGTTTTCGAAACTGTAGTTCGTAAAACTATATGCTTACTATTCAAGCATTATGTGGCTTTCTGTAAAGTCTGTGCTACATTAAGTATTAATCAGAAAACTAGTTAAACATAATCTTGAACTTTTTTTGTAGTACACATAGTACCATTATAGTAAACCTCAAATCCAAATGCTTTCCCAGGATTATGCATTAACTTCAAAATCACTAAACAAAATTTTTTTTATTATTTAAGCTTAGACATGTTAATTCAGTTTTTAAATTAGCTGTTGTGATTTCAGAGTAACACACCTTGATGTATTGGTCAACTTTAAAAGATATTTTTGATAAAATTTTAAAATAAAAGTGATATCCCATGCTCAGTTTTACTTCTTAAATTTGAAAAGAAAAAGTAGATTGAAATATTACTGATTCAAATTGGTAATTAATCTTAACATTTTGGGAAATCATGTAATTAAAAAATAATCACCCAAATATTGCATACATAAAATGATATATTCTTGTTTCTAGTTCCTCTCACAGTACTCAAGGTCTTTCGATAAAATTGTACCTTTAAAGTTAGTTGTGCATTTTTCTATAAATAATTCATATTGCAATACTGAAAGTATTTTATAGGCAGCTTTAAAATAAACTAATCACTTTTTCTTTGCATAGGCATTGGACCAATTTCACAAGCTCCGTTCATGTGCCTATTTTCCCTCAGGGCTGCATTATCCTTGAATTGAATGTTTGTTGCCCTTTCACCTAAATGATTTATTCTTTCCACACACAGCTTGGTTTCTAATACTCTAGGTTTTCATTATTAAAATTATATATTGAGTGCTTTCGCTTTTGGCAAAGTCTTGCACTTAGAACAAAGCTCTGATATATGCTGAGGTTCTTTTAGTTGAAAAATATAAAGCTTTTTGAAGAGATTAATCTCTTATTAAATACTGACATGAATTTTTAAGGGTTTGAATATTTTATAGTGAGTCTTATGGGAAGCAAAAAGCATTGTGAAAATTTTTTATAGATTTTGACAAGATTTTAAACAAATACCTAAACAAAATCAGCGTAGGTGAAATGTATTTCGATGTATCTATATAGTCAGGAACTGTTGTAGATTTAACTAGTATCCTCAGAGTCGTCCCTGGTATGTCCAGGTATCAGTTCCTAGACTGCCTGAGTGTATAAAAATCACATACTCAAGTCCTTCTGCTGGCTTGGCGAAACCTACGAATTTGAAAGTTGGCCCTTCTTATACACGGGTTTCACATCTCTCAAATAATGTATCTGTTTGGTTGAAAAAAATCTATGTATACATAGACCTTGCAGGTCAGACTCGTGTTGTTCAACGGCCAATTGTACTTTATTCTTCAACACAGTATTCTTGACTGGCATAGTACTTTGTGGAATCCACTAAATTACTTGCTTTTGGGAGAAAGTGGTGAATTTGTCAAAAGAATTATTTAATCACATGGTTTTTTAACTTAGCGGAGACATTAAAAGGAGTATAGGCCCCAAGAAACTTAGGAAATAAGATAGAGAAATAAAAAATGAAAGCTCCTTTCTAGTTTAGACTGACCACTAAGAAATATACATTATATTTGCAAGCTTCTCTACTCAAGCCATGTTTTAATTAAATATATTTGTTTTTTATTGAACTTTAGAATATTAACAAAAATATCTTTTTTACATTTTTGCATTCCATCTTTGCTCCTTTTTGTCTGAATCTTATTTGATTTTTTAAAAGCATATTTCCTAGTTTTTCCTTTCCATTTTCCCCCTTAATGTTATGTTTTGTTTTCTTTTTAATTGGTGGATGAGACAATTTTAAAATAATTTACATATGATAAATTATTATCATAAATTTGAAAATTTCCAGTTTAAAATTGCATATAGGTTGAACATTTTCAAAATGTTGTAGTATGCAGGAAATATAAAATAGAATATGTTGCAGTTCTTGACCTTAATGAGTTCACTGAAATCTTATTTTTTTCTGAAACTATCATGTTTGATTATAAATAGTAAAATATCACAGATTTTGCTGTTTTTATAAAATATTACAGATTTTCTTTCATTCATGTGAGGTAAATGAAGTTCCTAAAATATCTTCTTACTTTTAAATGTATACTATTCATTTTTCAATAGCATCTATTATCCCATTTTGATTTTCTTCAAACTTCAGAAAATTCAAATGTTAAACGTCTCTTTCAAAAACACTTCTTCAGTAATAAACATTTTCATTTATAATGAATAATGATCAACTAAAAGAACACTTTTAATGATGTACTTTCTTTCAGACTCTGCTAAGATTTTTTATGATTTAGCTACCTCAGAGTCATATGTCAGCATCGGTCTTGAAAGGTATATGAAAATTATTTTTGATGTAACAGTTTATTCAGGCACATACCAGGTATGTACATTTGTGGTTGTCCCCAGAAATGAGAATGAGTTCTCATTGCTGTCATTTTGGTATCTCCATATTGCTTCTAGTACCATTTTCAGAACAAGCGAATGTTCTGAATCAGTAAAGAAGCAGATATGTCACGACAAGAAACAACTAGATCCTTCATTAGGTCTAAAATTCTAAACAATAATCAAGTGACAACATTTTAGGCCTAAATAGAATTAGTTAATATATAGATTCATGTGAGATTGTTCTTTCTACTAATACTTCTCTGCTAAACCAGATGACGTTTGCACAATTTTCTACAACTTTCAACAAATATGTCCCAACATTGTAGATATTTTAGAAAATTATTTTAATCATGCCAGACAATATGTGGGAGTTGCCTTGTACTATTAGCTCTTTCTATAGCATTGATCCTATAGACTGCTAAGAAGCAATCTGTAGGCTGGGCTCGGTGGCTCACACCTGTAATCCCAGCACTTAGGGAGGCCAAGAAGGGCAGATCACGAGGTCAAGAGATCGAGACCATCCTGGCCAACATGGTGAAACACTGTCTCTACTGAAAATACAAAAATTAGGTAGGCGTGGTGGTGCACACCTGTAGTCCCAGCTACTTGGGTGGCTAAGGCAGGAGAATCAATTGAACCCGGGAGGCAGAGGTTGCAGTGAGCCAAGATCATGCCACTGCACTCCAGCCTGGTGATAGCATGAGACTCTGTCTCAAAAAAAACAAATAAACAAAAGCAGTATCTGAAGTCCATCTCTGAAGTCAGACATATCTGCTGTTAAATCCACTCAGACTCCTTGCTAGCTGTGTGATCTCAGCCACATTGCTTCAGATCTTTGAGCTTCAGTGTCCTGTTTTTAATTTGAGAATAATTAAAGTAATTACTTCATGGGGGGGGGTGGTGAGGATTAAATGTGATAATGTAGATGAAGCACTTAGTTCTGTGTCTCACACAGAGCAGTGTTAATGATTCTTTCTAAAATTCTTTTTTCAGTTACCATATTGTTTTAACTGATGTTTTAAAATTCTTTTTTCAGTTACCTTGTCTTAACTGGTGTTTTCTTCTTCTCCTTGTCTGAATCTCTGCTGTTCCTTATTTCCAACTCTTAAGCATTGTATAAGACTCTTTCTTTGCCTCCATTATTCTCTTTTGGAAGGTTTACACATTTTTATCTGTCATTTTTATCTTGTCATCCAAACAAGGAACTTTTGAGTAATCTTAGACAACTTTTTTTTTTAATCACCACCTATATCTTGTCAGTCAGCAAGTCTTTTGGGTGTCTTTCATTTAACATGATGCTTTCGACATTCGTCTAATACATATCAGTAGTTACTTCCTTACTAAGTAGTATTTTGTTGTATGAGTGTACTTCGATTTTGATCCATTCACCAGTTTCTGGATATTGAGGTTGTTTATGGCATTTGGTGATTATGAATAAAGCTGTTAAAACATTTGCATACAGGTTTCATGTGGACATATGTCTTAACTTCTCTTGGATAAAAACCTAAAAGTGGGATTGCTGAATTCTATGGTAACTTAATAAGAAACTGCCAAACTGTTTTCCCAAGTGATTGTATCATTTTGCCACCAAACCAGCATTGTTTTAAGCATTCCAGCTGTTGTGTATACTCACTAGCATTTGAAATTGTTAGACTTGATCTTTATTTCAAAACTTGAGCCATTCTAATAGGTACACAGTTGAAGAATGCCCTTTTTAAGACATAAATTACTTTAAAAATCATTTGTTTACAACATTATCATCAATGAGACCAACAAA